TTAAATTAAAATAAGCATGTAACGACCACAAACGGAGGAAAATAGCAGAGTAAAAGTACCGATACATCACTTAAAATGTACTCAAGTAAAAGTAGAAGTACACAATTTTTAAACTACTCAAAAAAGTACAATTACTGATAAAAACTACTTAATTACTGTAACGTGAGTATTTGTAATTCGTTACTTCACACCCCTGCAAATAGGAGAATGTTATTGTGACGTTTACAGAGGGTTTTAGCAACAATGTATTAACCAAATGGATGTTTTGTTTAGGGGGCTTGTTTAACCATATGCACTGTGTGTTTTAGTGACCGTGAATGAGCAATTTTCATTCAAACAGCTGAAAGCGCTCTTTGCTGGCATAGAGACAATACATTTTTAGAGACTCAGCCTTTGGCATTGTAATGCAGAGAACAATACATTCTTCAGACATTAATGTCATATTGCCTTTGTGTAATATAAAACTTTTATTTGGTTCCTTAGGCCAATGAGCACTATTTCACTCATATATATTGATTTGCAAGTCCCCGTATTTTGTAGTGTGCTTTGAGCACGGGTATAATTGTGTTTTATGGCCCATTGCTGTAAGTTTACAGTGATGTATTGTGCATCATTTTCTTAGTTGTCCCCCCATTTTGCCTGGCAGAATGGGGTTATATAGCTACTGAGGTGCGTTGTCCTCTTTATTTTTAAGAGTGTGGGCATAAACAAATGACTCATACTTCACTGCACATTGCAGAGAAGCATACACAATATGAGAGCAATAGGAGGCCCCAAAGGTACTATGGGAATTCATTGCTTATTTTTGTAAACGTCTAAAAAATGCTAATAATCATATTCATAGAGTGCCTCAAAAAGTATTATATGCCTATTAGCTAGTGATAACTTAGCTCCATCTTGCAGTAACTGTACAAAAATGTTGCTGCTGTAATGATTACGGTGCAGAATTGACAGATGTTCACTTTGCTTTTTGTGACTTTGCTTTAAATATCCACTGTCTGTGCCATCAAATGGCACTGAAGAATGGGCACAGTCACTGCATAATGACAAGTGCTGCATAAACTAAGAAGTTTTAATAAAATACACAAATAGACAATGTTAGGATTCGTCCTGTGTGGCGTGTATATTTCTAAACAGTTCTAAACTGTGTATTTGTATTTCTAGCTCACTGTTTACATACTTGTTAGGACCATATTGTAATGTATACATAAATATTGCCAAATAAGATTGTATGTTGAACAATGTGTCAGATACATGTAGTTAATTCATGTACAGTGTCATTTATATGATGTTGGTTTTTTTATTTATTTTTTTTTTATTGAACTTAGATTTCATTAATATATATACATATTTAGATGTGTCTGTTTTAAAAGAGTGACTCCGAACCAACACATTTTAAAGTTTTATATATGCTTGTACAGTATGATTGTACCCCACATTATGGCTTTAACCTGTCCTTACATATGCATGGTGACTTAATACTGTATGTACTGTAACTAAAGGATTTGTTTTGTTTTGCTTTTCTTTTGTAAATGATGCCTTTAATAGTGATGGCTGGTCCCTTGGTTTATACTCTGTTTCATTCTGCAGAATCAACCGAATAATCATTCAATCTTTTTACCCCTGTAAATAGATATTTGTAAGTTTCCCAGCAAACTGTTGAAATGTAAGAGAGATCAGTGGGTTATTATTTGAGTGTCATAGAGACACTTGCATTATTAGTGCTCTATGGCTTTTCGGTTGAACCTGTTGACAGATATTTGGAAGTTTCGCCTTGTGGGGGTTTGTTTAGCGATGTATTTTGACTGAGGATGATATGTCTTAATATATATTGAAATAAATGTTTGGTATCACAGCCAAAATAAGCATTTTTTTATTTCCACAGTCTCCTGCATGGTGTCATAAATTATCAAAAAGTATATAATCACATTTTTATGTACCTTTTTGTGAAGTGCTCTGTTTCATTCCCTATTTATAGCAAAAAAAGTTCTTCTATATGTGACGATGCATATGCCCACAGACCACCCACAGTCTGTTCACTAACCATCTGATGCTCATTGCACACAAAACTAATAAGCATTTTCTTGATCTAGTTCAAATGTGATTTGCTTGGCAATTTCTGTAAGGACCAGATGATTTTTGATCGGTCCTTAAAAGAAAGTTGTGTTCAGTGTTGGGAAGGTTACTTTGGAAATGTAATAGGTTACAGATTACAAGTTACCCTATTTAAAATGTAAGTAGTGTAACTATTTCAATTACTTTATTAAAGTAATGTAACTGATTACATTTGATTACTTTTTGAATTTTCATTTCTAAATTTCTAATGAATGTTTTCAACTGGTAATCATTTTGAAACATGTAAAGCAGGCAGGTTTAACCTTACAGTAGTACTCTGATTACTGTAAGACTTTCCAAATCCTTCATCACTTGAATTAAGATGATAATAATAATTGAATTTTAAAGCACACCCACCACAAAATCAAACTTTAGCAGCTCTTTTCACTTTGAGATCATTCTGAGGTTAAACACAGATTTAAAATCATAACAAGAAATAGTTTAATGGCTATGATACTGTTTTGAAATCAAATTTTTGCATAGCTACAGGAAACACTGGCATCTAACAGTTAATCTTAAAAAATAAAGCACAGGCCTATACACAAACCCAAATAGGAAATAAAACAGTTATTGAATAAGCATGTGTCCTATTCTGTGTCCTAAACTCCTGAAACATTGGTGTCTCATATTTTAGAGCAGTCACTGCAATTTAGGAAAGAAATCAATTAAATCTGTGTGTGTGTGTGTGTGTGTTTGTGTGTGAAAATATTCAGATGTAACCCCCTTTGTAATCTTTAAAATGTTCATATGTAACTGTAATTAAATTACGTAATTCCGTTACATGTAACTAGTTACTCCCCAACACTGGTTGTGTTACCGTTTGCAAGGTTAGCAAAATAAAGTATTTTTCGTTTAATTTCATTTCAATCATTTTCAGATTATTTTTATGTACACTCATAGAGCCATGTCATCATTTAATTTTTTTTGTGCTAGCCTATTGTTTTGGTATATTATAGCTCAATATATAATGTAATCTTCCCCCAAAAGGCACATATGTACAAAGCTGTGAGTGATTGCTTTACATGTCAGTTTCTTCCTGTTTAAGTGAGCGATTCTTGGCCAGAATTATCTACAGAAAAAAAATTTAAGTTGTTTTGGCACGTACTAAACTCTTCTTCCATGATGCCAGGCTGTTCGGCATGGTTGCCAAATCTTTCTTGCTATGCGGTTTCAAATGTGGTTGTTAGCATGTTGCTAGGTTGATGCCATGGTGTTTTGGTAGTTGCTAAGTATTCACTCGCTTACTCAAGTTGAAATTATTATCAGGTTAGTTATAGTTCATTTTACCATATGAGAAATTGTAATAGTGTTGCTTGTCAAAAGGTTCTGCCCTAGTTGAGATCTCTAAGCCACAGCTGTGCCGGACCCCTATTTAACCAATTAATTTCTTATACAGCTGTCTCTGCACACTGCAAATGTAAAAAGTTTGGTACAGCTACAGCTAAACAAAGACGTTGCTTTCAGCAGCCGTTTTCAGAAACTGCACAACCGCAGAAAGTATTTCCCTTTGTTTAGTATGTGTCCTTTAGGATTTATGGAAGCCTGTTTTCAGCAATAAAGAAATGAAAAAGGTAAGTGCAATTTCTTACCGCACAATTTAGACTTTTTTCATGCAATTTTCTCAGAATTTGCTATTTCATATATTCCGATTTCATATGCAATTTCATATATCTTTTTTTTTTTTT